GACCAGACACTGTGTGATGGGTGTCTGTAACTATGAAGTGATCTTACAGTTCATGAATATGTTGTGCCTAATTGCAAGTTTCAGCCTCAGTTCTGCGTTTCCTAGCCTTTGTAGGTCTGTTGTACCGTCTGTGTTGTTCATACAGTCTTACATGCCTGATTATTAACAATAATTGCACTGCAGGCTTCAGAAGCTGCTGAACACTGTGAGAACTCTGTATAAATATAACATCCGTTAATGCCTGCAAGTAGAGGTTCTAGATTGTGCAAGAGTTACTCAGATTCCTAACTTAAATAAGTAGCCAGACTTAGCTTAAAAGTAAACACCACTTTCATTAAAAGATATAGTTGTGTTTTAATCTCCCAGAAAATAAAACATTTCTAGGTCTTATTAACTAGAATAAACTACTCTAGTCAGTCCAACTGAGAATTACTTTTTGGGGGTTTTTTTGGCACTCAACTGTATTTTTAGACCATACTAGTCAGCTTCTTTCATCTCCTTCTAATTAGAAAAAAAGTTTTATGTTTAAATGGTTCAGATTGTTCCACCCAGCCTTGGTTCACTGGTTAAGACAGTTCCTGACATACTGCTGATTCGCCCTTTCCTGCCAGTCACTTCAACACTCAAAGCTGGACAAATGTTTTGTTGCAACTGGAAAGACCAGACTGATACAAAAGTCCTTTCATTGATTCTGAAAACATGACACAAAAGCTTCATGGACTGTTTAAATCAGCTGGGCTCATTAAAGTTTTTAATTCATTATAGTTGCAGAGACTGCCCTAAAGAATGCTGCATTACTTGATTTATATTTTTACTTTTTTATTTTGATACAGGTATTTTTTTTTCGTAATTTGAATACACTTTCTTTTTTGCCCAAATTGTGCCCACACTGAACACTCAGTAGCGCTGCTGAGATCAGCATTCTGCTGCTGCTGCTAATTTCCATACTGTTGCAATTGCAGTCTTCATATTTCTGTATTCCTGTCTCATCTGAAGTCACGTAAGTTCTTGGCTTGGAATGGCCAAGTGCTACGTTTCCTCCTTCTGCAGCAACTGCAGAATCACATGTAGATGGTATACATTTCCCCCAGGATGGACTTGCTGGGTAGCTATGTACAGGCAAGGCATTAACCTGTCCTCTAATAATAATCTGCAGTTGTATTTTTCCCTTGTTTTTTTTGGAAAGACACTTAGATAGGCAGTACTTTGCAGTTGAACATAGTGAACTGTGCATTTTCTTAATGTATGGTGGCTAACAAATTCATGTGGTTCTGGTGGTAGAAATTCTACAGGAAAGACATAAGCCTATTTTTATAGAACCCTGTTTAATCTGGGAGACCTGAATGTATATTATATGTGGAAAAAATATATACATACATACAAATATGTACAGTGATAATAGAGCTATTCTTGCTAATACAGGATTGTAGTTTGTATTTCCTTCCTTGTTTTTGTTGTGTAGCAGCATATACATGCAGAAGGCTTTTTCTCATCTGAAATACAAGGTGGGTCCTGCATTTGGATGTCACCCCTGTGTGTCAGTGAGAGTTGCATTAAATCCTTTTTCCCCCCCACAAGGATCTGGAGGGGGTACAAAATTCTTGCTGTGGTGCTACTACCCTTTTCATTGCTTTTGCTCTCCTGTTCCAATTACAGGAACAAAATGGACCCTAACTGGTTGTCTGGAGATGAGATGATGGAGCTAAAACAAACAAACAAAAAAAATTCCCCAAACTAAACCAAATGTGCTCACTTGGAGTTCCCAGAGGTGATAAAAGTGAGAATGATGAGTTTGCTGCAGGGGCATAAAACAGATCTCTAGTGTGTTTTTTCCTTCGAGACAGGGACAGAAGAGGCTGAGGGCTGGTCTGTCTCCCTGAGAAGGCAGCTGTCACCACTGCCCTTATGTGTTCAGTCTTGTGATAAGGTGGTTGAACACTGAAGTGGTGGCAGCTGCTCTTCAGCGGCCTTGCAACCTAGTTTTGATGTGGTGCTGTGCACTTTTACACCAGAAGCCACAGGGCTGCCCTGCCCTTCGTCCCTGCAGCAGCACGGTGGTTAGGGGGAGCGGAGCAGAGCCAGCGCTGAATGTGCTCTCAGCCCCAAGGTCAAAGGCATTCGTGTTGACTGGTTATACGTAAGTGATGGCCCCAGCAGCACCTGACTGGTCTGTGCTTCACTGGGAAGCAGAGTGGGGGTGTTGAAGGGTCGATTCTGGAGGTCCTAATGCGGTCTGTCATCAGAAGTAAATTTGAGTTTTCATCTGATGTCCATCAACACAGCTGTTTTCAGCTTCTCAGGTACAAAGGACCAAATGTAATGCTTAATGTTTCCTAACTCATTGTACAAAAGGGTATTTTGTTACCTTACTCTCTTTGGTTTGTGAGTAGAGAACATTATGTACATAAAACTGTGTTAATAAATGCAATTTTGAGAACCTCATTCTTAATGTCTTCAGTAACATCAG